CCAAAAGGATTAGTGACTGTTGCTGTACAAGTACCAATAAAAAAATATGTTGACCTCGTTCGAGATAAATTTGCAACTTCTGTAAGAAAAGAATAAAAAAGAGAATCTTTATTCAAACCATCGCCATCATCTATTATTGCTGTTTGCAGACCATCTATAGTGAGAAAGAGTGTCATGATATTATGTATATCCATATAATTTTTGAGTCCCTCTAACACATCACTTGCCGTTACATGATTGTATTGACGAAAACGACTAAAGCCGCGTTTTTGTTCATCTGGCTTAAGTTGATACAACATTCTTGTCCCTATAGCTATTGAGGCATTCTTTTCTAATTGTGGATCAAGTTGTGTACCATTCTCCAATGAAATATTAAAAACTAGTCTTTTTGATATCAAATTCTTTAAGTTTGAATTAACCCATTTTTCCACTAAATGTGGAAGTTCGGTTGCTGTTCGCGATTTTCCGGTTCCAGCACCTGCTAGAATCAAATAAATCGGGATCAAGTTTTTGTCAAGTTTGCCGTTTTGGAAATTGTAGTAATGATCTTCTATTTCCTTTTTTAATAATTTTGTTAGATTTTCCGATTCTTGAAATTCCCAAGACGCTCCTTCTGTATATAGCAACGGAACAGGCTCTTTGTATTGTAGATTGCAAAGCGACATAACTAAAAAGAATTACAAAGAAATCATATTGAGAGACATAAAAAAGGTTAGCGCGTCACGTTCGAGTTGACCAATCATTACGACGTAAAGACTTACCTTGATGGTCATCTAAATTGGGTTAGGAGACCAAGTTACAAAGACAAGAACAAAAAAATTTTTTAGCAGTGGCGTCACAAACAGTATAACGGCAAATATTTTATTTAACATAACATACCGGATATATTTTTAATAAAATCTTTCAAAAGACTCATTTTAGATTCTTTTGTCTGGTAGGAACTTTTAAGGGCCGAAAACAATTCTTCTTTTACATCATGATTTTTCATTAGATTAATTTTTAATTTATTCGCTTGTGCTTCTTCGAGACCAGTGCTATCTATGATTTCGTAAATATTAGACATTGTCGTTTTGATTTAAAAGTAGTAAAATAAAATGAAAAACTAATTTTATGAAGAGGAGGTTTATATCAGATTTATTGATTATATATATGATTTGGAATAAACATTTATTAAACTTCGTGATCGCGTTGTATTAAACTATTAAGCTTCACTGATTATTAATTGAGAATGTGTTTTATAAATCAGTACTCCGAAGTATGTAACAACAGCTCATCCGTTGATAAATATTGTACATTTATTTCTTTATCATTAAAAAATTCGAGTCATCGTGAGATAATTTACATATGATTTTTTTCAATGCAACACAAACTTTATTAATAATTTCAGATCCAGAAGTGGAAAATATGAGAGAAGGGAATAATGATGCTATCAAAGAGGGAGGGAGTACGCGGATCCTAGGCGAGTCCTAGCATCAAGTTATTTCTTTGCTCTTTCACATTTACGAAAAGTATCTATAACTAATTTGTTTATGCTTTTATTGCTAATTACGTGATTCTCACCCCACATCCTTTTGCTATACTAGATTTCCGAAATAAATTATCCCACCCATATTTACAGTATTTTTGTCTATCTATATCTCTCCCAAACACACAAAATATTATTTCT